GCCAGGGGGGGCGGGAGAGTCTCCCGCCACTGCCGCAGCGCTCGCCAGCTGTGAGCCTAGCTCCTGAGCAGCACTCCCCCTGTGGGAGTGCACTGACCACCAGGGGGCAACTCCTGCGTTGAGCATCTGCCCCTTGGTGATCAGTGCACGTCATAGCAACCGGTTGTTCTGCCGTTTGGTCGATTTGCATATTAGCCTTTTATTATATAATATATATATATTCTTTTTTTCCCCTGAACTGCAGACTTTTTCTTTTTCTTTTTTTTTTATTGCTTAAAGTATTACAAAGGGTATTACATATGTGTCCTTTTTTTTTCCCCGCCCTTGACAATCCCCTGGCCTCCCCTACCCCCCAGTGTCTTATGTCCATTGGTTATGCTTATATGCATGCATACAAGTCCTTCGTGAACTGCAGACTTTTATTTCTAGCTGTTGTAACTGATCCACTTGGATGTTTGTCATCCTAAATTTAACTTTACCAAAATCACTCTTTTTTTCCTAAACATCTGCTTGATTTTCCCTCAAAAGCTCTTCTGTTCTTGCCAATTTAATTAAATGTAGTTGCTTAAGCCAAAAATCCTAGGAGACATTCTAGGTACTTCTTTTCATCTTATCCTACATCTAGTCCATCAGCTCTTTCTGTTAACTCTCTCCTTTAAATATAGCCTGAATTGTCTCTTCACACCATCTCCCGGTCACCAGCCTAGGTTAAGCCAAGAGTCTTGCCTGGAATACTTCTACTGCCTCCTAACTAGTTTTCTATTTCTGTTCTTGCCCTCCTTTTCCTGCCTGTACTGTCCATTTGCCACACCATAGCCAGAGTGACCTTTTTAAAAAGTAAAATTACATTTATCCAATGAAGGTAGATAGATGGCCAATAGCACATGAAAAAATGCTCAATATCATTTGTTATTAGAGAAATGGAAATCAGAATCACAACGAGATGCCATTTCACATCTACTGGGATGGCTGTAATAAAAAAGATGGACAGTAACAAGTGTTTCAAGGATCTCAAAAACTTGGTGTCCTCATATATATCTGCTGGAAATGTAAAATGTGGCAGCCACTTTGGAAAACAGTTTGGAAGTTCCAACAAAAAAGCTATATACCATATGACTCAAAGATGCCACTTTTAGGTGTATATCCCCCCACCAAATTGAAAACATGATTGCATACCAAAACATACAGTAATATTCATAGCAGTGTTATTTATAGCCAAAAAGTGAAACAATCCAGATGTCTATCAGCTGATGAATAGCTAAACAAAATGTGATATATGTGACTATAGGCACACCTCGGGGATAGTACGGGGTTCAGTTCCAGACCACTGCAATAAAACAAGTATTGCAATAAAGTGAGCCACAGGAGTTCTTTGCTTTCCCAGTGCATATAAAAGTTATTTACACTGTATATACTATAGTCTATTAAGTGTGCAATAGCATTATGTCTAAAAAAAGTATAGTGTTAGTCGTTTTGGCTCAGTGCATAGAGTGTCGGCCTGTGGACCAAAGGTTCCTGGGTTTGATTCCAGTCAAGGGCATGAACCTTAGTTGCAGGCTCCTCCGTGGCCTGGGCCCTGGTCGGGGCATGTGCAGGAGGCAACCAGTCCATGTGTTTCTCTCACATCGATATTTCTCTCTGTCTTTCCCCTCTCTCTCCCACTCTCCCTAAAAATTGATGGGAAAATATATCTTTGGGTGATGATTAAAAAAAAAAATTAAAAATTAAAAAAATACATACCTTAATTTAAAAATACATTTTGCTGGAAAATTCTAACCGTCATCTGAGCCTTCAGCAAGTCATAATTTTTTTTCTGGTGAAGGGTTTTTCCCAAGTAACATAAAAATCACTATAATAAATATAATAGTAATAGAAATGTTTGAAATATTTTGAGAATTATCAAAATGTGACAGAGATGCCCAGCCGGCATGGCTCAGTTGTTGAGCGTTGACGTATAATGCAGGAGGTCATGGTTTGATTCCCGGTCAGGGCATATGCCTGGGTTGTGGGCTCGATCCCTGGTAGGGGGTGTGTAGGAGGCAGCTGATCAATGATTTTCTCTCTCTGTCTCTCACCCTTGTTCTCTGAAATCAATAAAAATATATTTTTAAAAAATGTGACAGAGATGAAGTGAGCAAATGCTGTTGGAAAAATGGCACCAATATACATGCTCGATGCAGAGTTGCCACAGACTGCAATATCTGCAAAATGTAGTAAAGTGCAATAAAATGAGGTATGCCTGTATTATTTGGCCAAAGAATGGAAGCACTGATACAAGCCACAACATGGATGAACCTTGAAAACGTTAAGCTAAGTGAAGGAAACTGGACACAAAAGGCCACATGTATGATTGCATTTATATAAAATGTCCAGAATAGGCAAATCCATTGAGATGGAAAACAAATTAGTGGTTGCATAATAGACTGTTAGGTACAGGTTTGTTTTGTTTTTGTTTTTTAATATATTTTTATTGATTTCAGAGAGGAAGGGAGAGGGAGAGAGAAACATCAATGATGAGAATCATTGATTGGTTGCCTCCTGCAACCCAAAGAGGACCATACCAAGACACATCATAATTAAAATGCCAAGGGCTAAAGACAAAAAGAGAATCTTAAAAGCAGCAAGAGAAAAGCAGCTAGTTATCTACAAGGGAGCGCCCATACAATTGTCAGCTGATTTCTCAACAGAAACTTTGCAGGTCAGAAGGGAGTGGCAAGAAATATTCAGAGTAATGAATAGCAAGGACCTACAACCAAGATTACCCAGCAAAGCTCTCATTTAGAATTGAGGGTCAGATAAAGGGTTTCACAGACAAAAAGCTAAAGGAGTTCATCACCAAACATTTCAGTATTACATGAACTGTTGAAGGTATTCTTTAAGAAGAGAAAGAAGAAGAAGAAGATAAAAAATAAAAACAATAAAGTAATAAATACATATCTATCAACAATTGAATCTAAAAATCAAAATAAATGAACAAGAAATCTAATGAACAAAATAAACTGGAGAATAAAATAGAATCAGAGGCATGGAAACTGGAACAGACTGGTGAATCTCAGAGGGAAGCGGGGAGAGGAGCAGGAAGAGATTAACCAAAGGTCTTACCTATGGACTGTAGGGTGGTGAAGGCCTGGGGTGAAGGCCTGACATATCACATCTGGGGTGGAGGGGGGCAATGGGGAAAAAGGGGGACATCTGTAATACTCTCGACATTAAAGATTTTAAAAAATGAAGTAAAATTACGTCACTCCCCACTTAAAGCACATCTGTGGTTTCTCATTATATTTCAAATAAAATTCAAACTGTTTTTCATGACCTTCAAGGCCCTATGTGATCTGTCTTCGCTTTCTAATCTCCCCGTTTTCCAGCCATACTAACCTTTTTACTGTTCTTCAAAATGCCAAGGTCATTGTCACTTCTGCTTGGATTATTCTTCTCATTCAGGTCAATCCTTTCTAGAATATTACTTCATAGCACAAAGATACTCTTTCCTTCTCCTTCACTAGAGTGAATATTCCGTATGGGCAGGGATGCTGTCTTATTTGCTGTGCTCTCAATGTCTATAACAGGTTCTGACATATCACATCTGTTAAATACATTCTTTTTGAATTAATGAAAAACTGTAGAACATTGCTTTAATTTAAAAAAACACATCAAAATTTTGTAGATAGTAATTAATTACTGTTTCTGATATAAGTAATTCTGGAAAATTGAATCTGAAGAATAGGAAGATGTCTTTATTATATTATTAAGAAACACTTGGTTCCTTTACTTTGGTTTTTGACTGGTTGCGTTTTGAACCTGATTGTCTTTTTGAAACCAAGTTATCTGCGTGGTCTTCCAGTGTCATTTGTGATTTTTCATTTGTGCTGTGATTTTTTTTTCCCTTAGGGGCCTTGGACAAGTTGTTACTGACTATGTTCAAAAGGATGCATTGCAGAAAGCTGCCAAGGCAGGCCTCTTGGCACTCTCGGCTTTCACCTTTGCTGGGCTTTGTTATTTCAACTATCACGATGTGGGCATCTGCAAAGCTGTTGCCATGTTGTGGAAGCTCTGACCTTCTTGACTTACTACCTTGAAAATTGATTGTACACCTCTTTGCCTCTGCTCTGTCATGCCATTCATCTCACAATAAGGAGGAAATAAGTCCACTGGTGAGATAAATCTCTTCTCCTAATCACCTGGCTAGTTTTAGAATTTAATCTGTGAGGAAAAGGTTTGAGAGGAATTGTATCCAAGAAATTGTGAGACAGAGTTCCACATTCTGGCGAGTGAATGGGGTCCTCCAGCTTCTCAAGACTCACAATGTAACTGAACATTATATATGAGCTTTCGCATTATAATTTACCGAACTCTTAAAGGGAATTCAGCTTTATTACTCTCAATACCTAATCAAACTGCTATATTTGTCCTAGGATTTATGGAGAAAGGAAAAACTATTAATTCATAAGTAAAGACTGCAGAAACTTATGCAGCACTTAATGTTTGAAAACTTTCCCCCTTTGTTTACCAGTCACTGATGGTTATATGTCTTTGGGAAACTTTAAAGTTAGGAAATGCTGATATTTCACATTACTAATTTCTAAAGCCTGGGTAAAAGAGCCTGGAGAACTTCTGAATATAGAGAAGTTCCATGCAGGGAAGAGGTACCCCTGTAGAGGTATCAAAGTATTACATGTTCTAAACTGAAACAGACTTAACTCCTCAAATATGTTCATTTTACTTGTCCCAAAATAATATCCACAAATATAAAACTTTAAATAATAAATTGTTATTTTTCCCACTGTGAGAATCTTTAATGTGAAATGTATTCTGTGAAAATAAAGTTTTTTTAAAAAATAAAATTCTGTATAATAAAAATGTATTTTGCTCTTTTATGTATTAACTGTCCCTAGTTTTATTTATTAGAACCGAGTGTCCATTGCATCTATAGCAATAAAACAGGATTGAGTCTTTAAATTTCCTTCTGGGGCTTAGCAGTTAGGTAAATCGGACACAAAACACTGTAACACAAAAAGACGTAATAGGCAGAAATATACTGAGTATAAGTAGTTTGGTATGAGGAGACTATTAGAAGGAATTAGAATTAGGTCCAGATACGGTGTTTTGTGAAGATCAGCCTTTGGAATTCAAATTATATTCTGTATGCTGTTAGCCTGGTCTGCAGGATGAGTATAAGGCACGATGGTTAGTTAGTTTCTCCTAGCAGCATAGAGGGACTGGGACTTGGCTCATTTCACTTGTGAAGGACCTTACTGGGCAGCTGAGGCCAACTGTTGATGGGAAGCTGGCCAGAAGGGGGCGTGTGTTCATCAATGTCCATACTGGTTACTGGTAAAGATAAGCTCCCCTTAACATGCTATGGCCTTGCAGGAGATTCAGATGTGCATTAAGGGTTTAGGAAGAGGTGCTTAATTCAGTTTTACATGGGTTAAAGGTTTCAAAAGGGAATGATGCCTGAATAGCAGTGGTTTACTAAGGAGTGATGGTGCTGGGCCAGGCCTCCCTGGCAGGGGGGAGAATTTTATTACTGACATTATTTAGAATTGCTGTTTTGTGGTGGTGAATAAAAAGTAGACTCACCCTTAGTCAATTTCATTATTGTTTTAAAATTCTCTAGACAGTGGTCCCCTTAGTGTTGTTCATCCCCTCACAGCAGCCCTCAGTGCACCATTACTGTAAAACTGAGTGATGAAGTAGAGTTTTCCCTGTAGTCCAAATAGGGAAGGCTGTCACTGGGTAACGCGGGAATCCTATAGCTATCACCAGTACCATCAGATCCTAGTTGGGATTTGGAAGGGTGGCTAATGCTAATAAGCTTCATCAGACGGTGACTGAGACATTTAAGTGACAGACAAAGCTAAAGGAGTTCATCACCAAACATTTCAGTATTACATGAACTGTTGAAGGTATTCAACAGTTGAGCCTCCAAGTGGAGGCTGGCTGGCTGCTGTCTGACTCTCCTTATTGGTTTTGTAATTAGGATAGAGCTGAGCTGTCACTTTAGAAAAACAGTGGTTTGTTGTGAGCTGCTAGAGCAGCAGGGAAAGTAAGGCAGGAAGGAGCGAACAGCAGTAGGAGGCTTCTGAGGTTAAGCAGGGCATGATTAGAATTGTGCTTCAGAAAGAATTTAGGTGATATTAGGAAGGTTGATAAACTGGAGGCAGAAGGACTTGTAAGAGAATAGAGGCAGAAGGAAGGGCTTGGACTTTGATAGTGGCAATTTTATAAACTCTTGTGGGAGTCATAAACATTCATTCATTGATAGGTATTAAGTACCTCGTAATTGGCACTGTGCCTAAGTATCGTGGGTGGCCATAATAACTTCTTGGCCTTTAAAAGGAATTTATAGTTTAATTGGAACAGCAGGTATATGATTGCAGTTCAGTGTGATAAGTGCAATAATAGTTAAGCACATCAATCAGTGATGTCACAAAGGGTGGAGTAAGAATTTGCTTGCAAGTTTCCTGGAAGAGAGGAGTCTTGACCTGGGTTCTGAAAGATAAGGAGCTAACAGTTGGCTAAGAAAGCTGGGGTGAGGTGTGAGGCTGACTGGAGTATGCTAGGTCAAGCAGAAGATTGCACATAGTTTGGTATGAGTGCAGCATAGAGAGGGCTGATTGTAGAGGACCTTATATGCCATAGAGACTATTTTCATGGCAATGAGGAGTCACTGAAGATTGCTAATTATGCAAATAACATGGTCAGATGTTTATTTTAAATAGGTTATGCTGGGCTGTGTGAAGTATGGATTTGAAGGAGGCAAGCATGGAAACATTATTTCAGTGATCCAGAAAAGAAATGATGAATTCTGAAGGAATAATAGCCAGAATGAAGAAGAGAACAAATGCCAGAGATATTTAGAACTTAGAGTCAATAAGATCGTGTGAAAGATTAAAAGAGGAGGGGAGGTATGTTCAAATATATATATATGTTCAAATACAGCTAGGGCTCAAGTCCATATTTTAATACCACACATTCATTATATATATACACACACACACACACACATACACATACATATATGGAGAGAGAGAGAGAGTCATAAATAGGTGAGAAGTAGTGTCATTAAATTTTAATGGAAAATTAGAGATGATAGTAGAGAGGTCACTACCAACGTTTTGTATTTGAGATATCCAGGAAGAGAGAATTTATAGACATTTTTGGCAATGTGACAGACTAAATTTTAGAAATTATTTTGCTCTGACATATCTAAGAATGTTAAACAAGAACACCTTTTAAAACATGTGCCTGAACTTGGAAAAGGAAATCCTCTGAGGCCAGAACAAAATGAGCATACATTCAGGGAGGTAAGCAAATGCTGAGGCTGTTGAGGGCCCTGGGAGCATTTGCTAATCCCAGGTGGCCTGGAGTTCTTGTTTTAAGAAGGTGACAGGGGCCAGGAGCAAAGCTTTGGGTTCAGGTGGGAGTTGGATTGGAGACTCTCTTAGAACTACAAAGAGTTTTACCCTCAGAGAAAAGGCAAATTAGAAAATAATTTTACCTGAAAAAGCAGAGCAGAAAAACTTGTCTGCTTTGTCTTGGTTCTGGTTGGAGGCAAGAAAGTCTCCTCTGAGAATATGTGGCTAAGGGCCAGCCCTCATGCCATCTTGTATCCTAAGTTCATACTATCTGCATGCCTATAAAGACTACACACTGCAAATTTAGCACTTATCTAGGCTTGTAGTACTAGATGCCGGTAGAAGTGAACCAATCCTCCCTGGAGGAAGGCTCCTCCAACACAAGCCTCAGATATCCTACCAAGTTCCAGTGAATGTGACCTTCCAGCAATAAATCACAACCTTACAGGAACACCCTAAGCAGAGTCAGCACAGATAACAAGCAGAACTATGCCCGCAAAGAATTCAGACCCTGGCAGAATTTTCAGACCCAGAATGTAAACAAAATGAGATGAAAGTCTAAATATAACTCAGTTGTCAGATCAGGGATCAGAAGGTCTTTGGAGAAAGTGGTCTACCCCTTAAGTTATCTTCTTGATCCATAAACTCTTGGGAAGTAGATGTCTACTTGGGAAAGTTGCCTGTTTCTCTGGAGTCCTTATGAATGTCACAGGGAATCCTCCTTGGGTCTGGATATCCAGGTTATAGGATTGTAAGCACCTTTACATTACACAGAGGGCCTGGAGTTTCAGAGCTGTATTTGAAGCTAGAAGTACCCCAAATGGTCACTTGGAGTGTGGTTCTCAGGCTGACATTTATTGGTTTCTCATAATAAACCTAGTCTCCCAATTGTGTATCATACAACTAGAGGCCCAATGCATGAAATTTGTGCACGGGTAGGGTCCCTAGGCCTGGCCGGCAATCAGGGCCAATCAGGTTCCCCGCCTACCCGTCTCCTCCTCCCCTGCCACCCGCACCACCACCTGCGTGGTTCCCCACCTCCTGCTTCCCTCCCTCAGCGCCCCACCAGCACTGCTGGTCACCTGCCATGTTCCACGCCACCCCCTGGTGGTCAGTGCACGTCATAGTGAGTGATCGAACTCCCAGTCTCCTGGTGGAACTCCCAAGGGGACACTTTGCATATTAGCCTTATATATATATATAGATGGTGATGATGGAGGACACTATGTCTGATGATATGCCTTTCAGAAATATAGCTTGTATGGGAAGAGATTAACCAAAGACCTTATATGTATATATGCATAACCCATGGACACAGACAATTGTGTGGTAAAGACCTTGGGGGGTGGGGGGACAGGGTATGGGCTAGAACAGGTCAATAGGAAATAAAGGGGTCATCTGTAATACTTTCAATAATAAAGATTAAAAAAATATAGCTTGTACATTGGACATAAGACTGTGTATATGAGATTCATTTAAATAAAAGGTAACAATTGCAACATACCAAGGATGGAATCTGTTAGAGGTTGGGTCAAGCCCAATGTCATGGGATTTTTCTATAACTGTTTCATCTGAGAGCTTATGAAGATGTTAAAATGGAAATTGCAATATCATTAGGCCTAGGAATAAAATTTAGAACTAAGGGAAAATTTCAGTCAAACCAGAAAAGTTATAAACTTATTTAAAAGTACTTAATTATCATTTGGTCAACTGAATTAATGCATTTGTAAATGTTCAAATGCTCTTTGATGTGGGGATTTTTTCATTTTTATGGGCTATAATTAAAGTGAGTAAATTTTTTCTCTCTTTTTTGTTAATTCTTACCGGAGGATACTTTTTTCATGATGTGGGGGGAGAAGGAGGGAGAGAGAGAGAGAGAGAGAGAGAGAGAGAGAGAGAGAGAGAGAGAGAACACACATTAATTAATTGGTTGTCACCCGTGTATGCCCCAAGAATTAAACCTGCAATGCAGGTATGTGCCCTTGACTGGGAATCAAACCCACGACCCTTTGGTGAGGGACTGGCACTGTCCAAGGCAAAATGAGTAGAATTTTTATCACTTGTTGAGCCTTCTAGCACTTCCCCCCCCCCTAATTTTGTAAAGTTTGAGCCAATTTGTCCCTGTAATTTGGGTTATTTATGATTATTTTCAACATAAAAATTATCAGTCTGAGGTACTTTGGAAGACACCAAGCAACACAAAACAGTCTTGACAAAGCCAGTGTCTTTTCCCTTATCCACTCTCCCATCCCAAAGAGGGCAGAGTGTTAAAGTTTACTTTATTAAAAAAAAATCTTTATTGTTGCCCTAGCTGGTTTGGCTCAGTGGATAGAGTGCCAGCCTGCAGACTGAAGGGTTCCAGTTTTGATTTTGGTCAAGGGCACATGTCCAGGTTGCAGGCTCAATCCCCAGTAGGGGGTGTGCAGGAGGCAGCTGACCATTGATTTTCATCATTGATGTTTCTATCTCTTCCTCTCCCTTCCTCTCTGAAATCGATAAAAAT